TCCAACCGAGAGCCAAACATAATTTATTATTTAAAAACTACAACTTAAATGTTGTTTAAGTTTCATATTGTTAAATGTTTTTTTTATGTTGTATAATTTTTATGTTGGTTAATGTTATTTAATGGTGTTTCATATTGTTTAATGTTGTTTCATGTTACTTAATTTAATTTAATGTTTTATAATGGCTTAGAAAGTTATAGGAAAAAAATAAAATAAAATAAAAAAACAAAACAAATTTTGTGAAATAGAAGTTATAGGAAAAAATGGAATTTAAAAAAAAAATATATATGAAACAAATTTTGTAAAATAAAAGTTATAGGAAAAAAAATAGAATTTTAAAAAAATATGAAAAATAGAAGTTATAGGAAAAATTTTGTAAATAAAAAAAAATAAAACTGTAAAAAATAAAATTCAAAGCATTCTTGTTGGTTATAACCGACAAAAAATTCGACACATTTAAAAAAAATCTGGCCAGCTGGAAGTGGCCAGCCCTCTCCGATTCCGTGGGGCCCTCTCAGATTCCATAGCCCTCTGGCCTGGCTCTCGGTTGGAGACGGTTTTCGGGCTATTTTCGGCCCTCTGGCCCTTTGGACCCTTCGGTTGGAGATGACCTTAGTCTGTAGAATTTTTTGCCGAGAACATGACCCGGTATACTAAACTTTGTAAACTTAATTGTTCTATTCAGCCAATTGCTTGATGGAATTTACTTGCTTTTTTCTTTTCCGGGAATTGGAATTAAAGTTTAATTTGATGATTTACTATATGCCCATACTTATTTAGAGTTCGTTTGAAAATGCTTTTAAAATAGCTGAAAATGTTTTATTCATAGTTGACCCAAATGTATAACAATATAGACAGGGAAGATAAGGGCAGTGTTGAAAAGTTCGCAGCGACAGAAAATAAAATAAAAGGAAAACTAATGAAAAGGATTTGAAAACTTTGAGTTTTAATGAAAAGGATTTGAAAACTTTGAGTTTTAATGATAAGGACAAAATAAAGGGTAAAGTAAATAGTACCATATTTGACTTTTTAATGTAAAAATGTGGTTTTTCGTTAAAGTGAACAGTATCGTGGACTTTTCGTTAAAACTCCCTAAAATAAAAGCTAAGGGTTCAGATCTAAATAAAGCCCAACCAAGAAGTTTCAAATGAGCCCTATTTCCGCTGTCATCGTATGCATCACCTAAAGCTCAACTGGGTTCAATTCAGCCCATTTATTAGGTAAATTTGGGCCACGAACTAGCCCATCCAACCCACAGGGCTCAACTCAAACGAGTAAGCGACCACAATGCCCCTCCATATTCTCCGACTACAAAAACCCTAGCCCTAGCCGAGTCTTGTCTCTCACTTGCTCTCCTTTCGATCGGCCGCTGATCTTCAACAATGGTGAGCTTCCTCCCTCCGTTTCCGTTTCCTACATCTCAACTAATATATGCGTATTTGCTTTTTAATCTTGTAAATAAAATGCGGTAATCATTCATTAGAGTAATGGATAAGCGTTTCTTATTTTCTTCTGGACTTTGTGTTCTTTGTTTTTGTATGATTTTTTTCTTCATTTTACACTACGCAATATATGTTTCTGTTTCAATTATGTATAATTTTTCGGATTACATTGATATATGAATTGATTTATTTGATAAATAGAAAGCCCCTACAAATTTTCTGTAAACCAGCCGTCGATCAAACCACACATCACTTCCAGCTGCGGATCCTTGAATCCATTAGCTACGTTAAACCCTAGCCGGTTCTCTCTCGCTTTTTCTTGTTGCTTTCGGCTGCTGTTCTTCCGCGATAACGAGCTCCCTCACTTTGTCTTTTTTTATTCCATCACTCTCTGTCTGTTTGCTAATTTCGGTGCCAGAAAAAAATAGCTTGATAGTGTCTGTTTGGCTGCTCCGAAGATTGGTTAAAGAGTATATTTTTAAAACGCATTTCATTAGGGCTATCTTCAGTTCATGTTCAGTTTCTCATTTAATTGATCTAACATTTGAGCTTTTATGGTTTTCATGATTTTTTTTATCGGGATTAGTATGTACTGTTAAGTTTTCCCTCATTAAAATATATCTCTATGCACTGTCGAATAGTTTTCTGAAACACTGATGTGATATGTGTGTGTGTGTATTTTAAATTTTGAGGAATGATTAAACATTCTGTTCTATTATTTGTTATAGCCGTTCGTCAAGTCTCAAAAGTCTAGGGCTTACTTCAAGAGGTTTCAAGTCAAGTATAAGAGAAGGAGAGGTATTAATTTGTTTAATGATAAATTGTTTTTCCATTTTGCAAATTGGTAGTGTGCATATGATAATTTCTTTTTGAATGTTGTCCGCAGAGGGGAAGACCGACTACCGTGCCAGGATTAGGCTCATTAACCAAGATAAGAACAAGTACAACACACCCAAGTATCGGTTCGTTGTGCGATTTGTATCCTGAAAATTGTCAGCTAACTTTTGGGCCTTTCAAGTTTTAACTTTATATTTGTGTTTTGATAAAAAAAATATATGTTTTAACGTTGGTTAACGATTCTGTCTTATCTTGGTACTGAGTTAAAATTAGAATGGATGCTTTATTTATTAAATTTTTTGGTGGTAAAACATGATTTTACTTGCGTAATTTGTGATGTTCACCTTTACCTAGTTGTTAGACCAACAAGGATATTGTTGCCCAAATTGTATCTGCCAGCATTGCTGGTGATCTCGTTCTCGCTGCAGCTTATGCTCATGAGCTGCCACACTATGGGCTTGAAGTTGGTCTCACAAACTATGCAGCAGGTATTTCTGCCGTTGTATTTATTGCTTTCTCCATTATGTTTACATACATTAGTTCCTCATGTTGGGTGATAACTGTATATTTATGATCAGCCTACTGCACTGGCCTTCTCTTGGCTCGTCGTGTGTTGAAGAAGCTTGAAATGGATGACGAATATGAGGGCAATGTTGAGGTAGTGTGTAGTTATTATATGTATGCCCAATCCCAATTTGATTCCCTTTGTTTTCTTTTTCTAAAATTTATCTGGTATTGCAGGCTACTGGTGAGGACTACTCTGTGGAGCCAGCTGAGAGCAGAAGGCCATTCCGTGCTCTTCTTGATGTTGGCTTGATCAGGACCACCACAGGAAACCGTGTATTCGGTGCCTTGAAGGTAAGGTAGCAGGTTATGCTGCCAATTTAACTTTTTGTTGTGATGAAGTCAAGTTTTTTAGATTTGAAATTTTGAACATATCATACTGTAGTGTTTATTAAATTGTATGCTGATCTCTGGCTGTACCTCATTTTTCATATTTCTCTCCGTGCTATGAATGTGATGCTCTTTCTCAATTTTTTTTTTTATAATTCCATCGGAGTGTGATTTTTGTAATTGGTCACAGGGTGCTTTGGATGGGGGATTAGATATCCCGCACAGTGAGAAGAGGTTTGCTGGTTTCTCCAAGGATAGCAAACAGCTTGACGCTGAGGTTCATCGCAAATATATCTATGGAGGCCATGTTGCGGCGTACATGAATGTGGGTTTCGATTGCTTATGCCAGACATCACTTTTTACTTCACTGTTAAAATTTTACTGATATTTGTTTACCATAACTTAATTATTTGTTTCTCAAGCTTTACGGATATTGCCTGCTGAAACCTATAATTGTTTGTTATTTAGACTTTGGGGGAGGATGAGCCAGAGAAATATCAGACTCACTTCAGTGAATATATCAAGAAAGGTATTGAAGCAGATAACATTGAGGAGTTGTACAAGAAAGTTCATGCTGCCATTCGCGCTGATCCTACCGCTAAGAAAACTGAGAAGCAGCCGCCTAAGGAACACAAGAGGTAAATGTTGGAACAAATGCTGTTGCATAGTTATGAGTGTTTTTTTCGAGGCGTGGTTTCTTTGTTTGAATGTACATGTTTGAATGTACATGCATTTGATATGTGTATTTATATGAAATTTTCTGTTTGTGTCACAGGTACAATCTCAAGAAGCTTACCTTTGATGAAAGGAAGAAGAAGTTGGTCGAGAGGTTGACTGCCTTCAACGACGCAGCTAACGAGGACGACGATGATGACGAGTGAAGGCATTCGTTGGGTATATTTAGAGACATTTGAACATTTTTCATGTTTTGAGTTTCATGCTAAAAATGCGACAGAAGTTTTGACAATGCTATTTAAGTTATTTTGTTTTGAGTGTTTTGAGTTCCTACTGCGAGTGTTGGACTCGTGCATTAATTTTTTAGTGAAAGCTTTTGATCTCGGCAATGCTCATATTCACTCAAGTTCTCTTCACTACTTAAAAGTGCTTGTTTGAATTGGGTTTAAAATAGCTAAAAGCATTTTTGATCAAAATGTTTTTAAAATCAATATAGCAAAAATGCAAGGAAATCTTAAAAAAACACGAAAAAGTGATTCCTGTAAAGAGCATCAATTATGTTTCTTTTTCAGGAAGCATTTTAAATGCTTTTGAGATTCAAAAATATTTTTTTTTTAAATGGTTTTAGTCAAGATGTTTAAAGATAATTTCTTTTGAAAAATTAATGTTATTAGAACGTCTTTGATAAAGTCCACAAAACTAAATTTTAAGTGCTACATATGATTTTTTTGTGCTCAAATAAAGTTGTCAATTGAGTCGAATGTCCTACACACAGTTTAGAGACTTTCTATTACCACTCTTCAAACATTTTTTAACTGTAAATATGTGTGTCAACATTTTTCCAAAAATGAAATATTTTAAAAAGTCTCATGATGAAAAGTAATAAAAAATACTAAAATTTGGCAAAGTGGTCCTCTATCACAGTGATGAAAAGATGTTGTATCCCTGCATGACGGCGTGATTTCGAACTCTGTCGGTGGATAATCTAACATTTAACTTACTAAAACTATCGTTTCACTAAAAAAAATACTAAGATTTGTGGATTATGTTTGGGCATGAATCAATAAATTTCAATTCGTCATATCACAATTAGGGAAACAGTTGGAAATGCTGTTATCAGCCCAAAGTCCACATCGAATCCCAGCCGTCCATCACACCACAAAAACCCTATTAAACCAAACATCACTTCCAGCCGTCGATCCTTTAATCCATTTGGCAGATAAAACCTCACCTTCTGAATCCAAAAACCCTAGCCGGTGCTCTCTCTTCGTCTCGTTGCTCTCGGCTGCTGATCTTCCGCGATGGTGAGCTCCCACACTTCGTGTCTGTTACTTCCATTGAAAGTTCTCTGTCTGTGTTTGCTCGTTTCGTCTTGCGAGAAAATAGCATGATTATTTTCTGTTTGGCTGCTCGGACAATTGGTTAAGGGAGTACATTTTTCCAATCCATTTCATTAGCCCTACCTTTCAGTTGATGTTAAATTTCCCAATTAATTGATCTAAAATTTGAGCTTTTATGATTTCCATGATTATTATTTCTTGTTAGGGTTAGCATGGACTGTATTGATTTGCCTCATTGAGATAGATCTGCTGCAATGTCGTATCATTTTCTGAAACATTAACATTTTTTAGTGGGATTTTTGCTCTGCTGCATGAACTGTCCTTTGTATGTAATTTTTAAGGAGTTTGTTAAACGGTTTGTTCAATTATTCGTCATAGGCTTTCGCCAAAGCTCAGAAATCAAGGGCCTACTTCAAGAGGTTCCAAGTCAAGTACAAGAGAAGGCGAGGTATTCATTTCGGCTTTTGCGATAAGTTGTTTTCCCATTTTGTTTAATGTTAGTGTACATTCTGATGATTTGAAAGCGAATGTTGTCCAGAGGGAAAGACTGACTACCGGGCCAGGATTAGGCTTATTAACCAAGACAAGAACAAGTACAACACACCCAAGTATCGGTTTGTTGTGAGATTTGTATCCTTTTGTCAACTACCATCTGGGCCTTTCTTTCATTGAATTCATCTTTTGTTAATAACTATTTAAGATTTTATGTTGTTTCTGTGTTTTATTTATACGGAGTTTGAATTTGAAGCGCCTTATTTTTTCTAATTGAAATATTGCTGGTAATCTTGAATTTTACATCCATTATCCATGATGTTCACCTTAACGTAGTTGTTAGACCAACAAAGATATTGTTGCACAAATTACATCTGCCAGTATTGCTGGTGATTTGGTTCTTGCTGCTGCCTATGCCCATGAGCTCCCACGCTATGGGCTCGAAGTTGGTCTTACAAACTATGCTGCAGGTATTTCCACCGTTGTATTTATTTGCTTTCCCATTCTGGCTCTATACATATGAGTTACTATCGTGGGTTAGTAACCTTATTTTTGTGATCAGCCTATTGCACTGGCCTTCTTTTGGCTCGTCGTGTGTTGAAGAAGCTTGAAATGGATGACGAATATGAGGGAAATGTTGAGGTAGTGTGTGATTATTTCTCTCTATCCCGTTTGATTTTCTTCATTGCAATTTATTTTCTGATTTTATTAAAAACATTTATCCGGTATTTCAGGCTACTGGTGAGGACTATTCTGTAGAGCCAGCTGAGAGCAGAAGGCCATTCCGTGCTCTTCTTGATGTAGGTCTTATCAGGACCACCACGGGAAATCGCGTATTCGGTGCGTTGAAGGTAGAATACCATATTATGCTGCCAGTTTTGTTTTATGTGGTCAATTTCTTTTAAACATAATTCAGTTTTGTTCATTGTTTACACCAATATGTTTTGCTGACGGTTCTGATTATCAGTTTTTATTTGTCAGTCGTTATTCTTTCAATTGTCTAGCATTTTTTTATCTCAAAAAAACTTGATTAAAACCTTCCTTTTGGTGGATGTTGATGAATTGTATATTAACCTCTGGTAGTACATAATTTTCATATTGCTTCCCTTGTTATACATTACATGGTCTTTTCCCCAATGAGTCTGAATTTTAAATCCACTTGATATGTGCTTAAACTGATTTGAAAAATATTCAATTAATTGCAGGGTGCTTTGGATGGAGGGTTGGATATCCCTCACAGTGAAAAGAGGTTTGCCGGCTTTTCCAAGGATAGCAAGCAACTTGACCCTGAGGTTCATCGGAAGTACATCTATGGTGGCCATGTTGCTGCCTACATGACGGTGAGTTGAATATTCATGTCATGCATTAGCATTAATTTGACTGGTTTAAAATATTAATGTAATTTGGTCAAAATTTTAGTTATTTGTTACTGAACTTGTATGGGCGTTGTGTCCAAGAAGAGTTACGTATTCTTATTCAGCATACCCATTTTACTTTACTGTTCATAAAATATTGATGTTTTATGCTCAAACTTACGTTTGTTTTTAAGACCTTGGCGGAGGATGAGCCTGAGAAGTATCAAAGTCACTTCAGTGAATATATTAAGAAAGGTATTGAAGCGGATAACATCGAGGAGTTGTACAAGAAAGTTCATGCAGCCATCCGTGCTGATCCTACAATTAAGAAGACTGAAAAGCCTGCTCCTCAAGAACACAAGAGGTAAAGTTTGATTGATTACTGTACACACACAGTTGTCGATGTTTTAAATTGAGGCCTTGCTTCATTGTTTGCAAGTTAGTCACTTTGGAGGAGTCAAATATTTGGTTAGTGTTCTTGCTCAGTAGGAAGAAGTTACCAAATGAATCCATTTTTTCGTTTGTGCAAACAGATACAACCTCAAAAAGCTCACCTTTGATGAGAGGAAGATGAAGTTGGTTGAGAGATTGAAGGCCTTCAATGACGCTGGTAACGATGACAACAGTGATGATGATGATGAGTACTAAGCATTCAATCGAATTTTTCCACCCTTAGGACAACTGTTTACTTAATCTCTATAAACTCTGTTATCTTTATAATTCAGACATTTGAATACGTTTCTTGTCAGGAGGTTCCAGTGAGAAGCGCTACTAATTTTTTGACAAATGTTGTTATGCCGGTTATGTTTTGTTTTCGCTTTCACTACTTGTGCTATCCGCCCGCCCCTTGTTATCTTGACTAGGTGAGTGAACGGTTGAATGTGTGGTCAAGTATCCAACGGCTTAGAATCCAATAACAAGGGGTTCCGGTGCATGCTATTTTTCGGTTCATACTAAAAAAACCCGCTGGCAAGTATATGCCGTATTCCCAATATTTGATGCGATTGTAGACTCAGTCGAGCACCGTAGTGACACAGGTGAAGTGAGGTTCGTGTTTCTGCAAGGAAAAGACCTTGTTGATGGAAGGTAGTGAATCAGCCATCCCATAGAAGTTGGCCCACAACAAGGGAAACCTTATCTGGACGCAACCAATGGATTTGTTTGCTCAATTACAACTAAATCTTCATATTTCCACATGAGGTTTTCCCCACATCTGCACTATTGACCAGAAGAGTACAACATCTCTTGTAAGTGACACAGAGATAATGGCGCATTCGATAGCGTCGCCGCCACCTACCACTGCCGCAGCAACATCAATCTCAACAGCAGCGGCTAAAAAGACCGCTAGTTTCCGGTCAGTGGGATTCCAAAACGTCAGGCCTTCCGATCAAGTTTCCGATGACTCCAATGCCGCGAACAATAATCTCGTTCACAGGAGGTTAGTATTTGATTGTACATTCATGCCAAACACCTTCTATCCAAAATGTGCATTTATACGTACAGAAGAATGCTTGGCTCCTTATATTTAAATAATTGCAATTCTTTTTTACATGGAAAAAATACAGCTCGGCAAAATCGCAATGCTAACTCGTTAAAATCACGTCAAAATATTGTGATGTGGGGCTTGATGATGCAGGAATGTGGGTTTGGGTTTGGCGGGCGCTGTACTGAGCTTCACTGTGGGCGACCCAAATTCAAGTGCAAATGCGGCAGCCAGAAGGCCTCCGCCGCCTGCGGCGCAGGAGGAGAAGGAGAAAAAGGACCCGAACGTCAGTGGTGTTTTAGCGAAGGTCCTAGCTAGCAAAAAGAGGAAGGAGGCCATGAAACAATCGGTGGCGAAGCTAAGAGAGAAAGGAAAACCGATCCAAGCGCCATCTGAATAGTTTCTTTCCTTCCTTCCTTGTGAAGTTGAGTACCGCACTTTGGAGTTGTTTGTCATCCTTCCTTCCTTTTGGGGCTACCAATATTTTACGAATCAAAGAGGGGCTTGTTTTGCTGTGCATTCTATTTCTAATATTTGAGAGGCTTAGTACGCACGAGTTTTGTTGGAGAATCAAACCTGCTCTGATACCAAGTTGAATATCAGAGTGCGCATACCATAATGAACGAACAAACGGATTACAAAACTAGAAATATTATTGATATCAAACAGAGAATGCCGAAACGGCTACAAAACCCTAAAGTCTACATTGTTAATAGCTTGACTTCTTCTCTAATGAATAACAAAGCACCCTATTTATAATAAACTAACCCTAATTTCTAACAAAACCTAATTCTAATGGGCTAAGCCCAGAAAACCAAACATTCAAATAAACCAAAATACTAATATTTTCCAACATTCCCCGTCAAACTCATGGCGGTACACGACATGAGTTTGCCAACAAGCAGATGTGGATGCAAGCCTTCAAATTTCGATGCCGATACCGATGTCGATGCTAATTGCGAACTTCCGAACAAACTTGAGCAAACTGATACGCAGCGGACAAACGGATGAACAAATTGATACCCATCTAGAACATATTAAATTCCGAAGAATCAAACATGCTCTGATACCAAGTTGAATATCAGAGTGCGCAACGAACAAGACTAAATAAGAATATTATTAAACAAACTGAGAATGCCGAAACGGCTACAAAACCCTAAGAGGCTACATTGTGACTAACTTGTTTCTCAAACTAAATTACAAGCAATATTTATAGAGAACTAAACCTAAGAAACCCTAACTCGGATGGGCTAAGCCCAGATCCTAAACTAACAAGTAAAACCCAAATACTAAATAAACCTAAATACTAATATTTTCCAACACCCCCAGTTAAACTCATGACGGTACACGACATGGGTTTGCCAAAATAGATATGGATGCAAAACTCCAAATTCCGATGCCGATGTCGATGCTGATGCCGATGTCTATGCCAATGCCGATGCCAATATCGATGCCAATGCAGATGCCGATGCCAATTGAGAACTTCTGAACAAACTTGAACAAACTTGAACAAATTGATACGCAGCGGACAAACGGATGAACAAATTGATACCCATCTAGAACAGATTAAATTTCAAAGAATCGAACCAGCTCTGATACCAAGTTGAATATCAGAGTGCGCATACTACAATAAACGAACAAATGAATTACAAAACTAGAAATATTATTGATATCAAACAAAGAATGCTGAAACGGCTACAAAACCCTAAAGGTTACATTATGAATAGCTTTACTTCTTCTCTAATGAATAACAAAGCACGCTATTTATAATAAATAACCCTAATTTCTAACAAAACCTAATTCTAACGGGTTAAGCCTAGAAAACCAAACATTCAAATAAATCAAAATACTAATATTTTTTCAACATAATGGAGCATGGATAAGAGCAGTTCTACTGTAGCAACCCTCCCCCCAAGCAATACACTATACTATCCACCCAATGAACAGTAACTACCCTTAATGAACAGTAACCATCTTTTGCATCTCCACCGTCACACTTCAATAGCCCTGGCAATAAGCAATAAAATATTAGTATTTTTTTATTTATAAAATAATACAAAATAATTTTATTTGTAATTTCGGATAAGATTTTTAATCGTTGCATCTCCACCGTTGCAGCTTCTTTTCATTGCAATTTTGCAATAGACTGCAAAGCAAAACCCAGAAACCAATACCAATCCCCCCCCCCCAAAAATCCCATAAAATCAAAAGACAGAGCAAACCCAATTCATATTTCTTCTGTTTTTCAACCCGATTCATAAATTTTCTATCTTTTCAGTTCTTCATCTGGGTTTTTGCTAGCTAAAATCCAACTTCTGATCCCAACCCTCAAATGTGGCGGTCGTGGAGTAAATCAACGGTTCATATTCACGACACGCAATCCCCATCCTCCCATTTCTCCTTCTCCTCCTTCAAAGACATTCATAACATCTGCGCTGACGAAACCAACGACCACTCTCTACAAACGACAATCGCCGCCGTCGCCACAAAAAAAACCTTCGCTATTTTCCACCGCGTTCGAGTCGCCAACTCCCTCATTCGCGCCTGGTCAACTCGCCAATCCGCCCAGCCCTAGCCAAACCCCAACCCGAACCCGACGATGGAATCTCCACAAAACAATCTGAGCCGTTCATTAGCTTCATCCCTGGCTAACGTCAGCCTTGCGTCAGATAGCAATCGGGCTCGCGGGCTAGCAATTCGTGACAAGCTTGGTGCACGGGCAGGGTCCCTCGGGCTCCCACACGCTGGACTCAATTGGCCAGGCTCTTGGGCCCTGTTCACCAAACTGTCCCCCGAGCTCCAACCCACGCTGGAGGTGCTCTAAGAGAGAGGCTGGGCTGCTTAAGGCCGTTTTCTCCTTGGTAATATTAGTTTAGTTTTTTAACTTGAGCTCAATTAAAACAACAAAGCAAGCACAAAGGCCCAAACCAAAAACTGCTTATTTATAAATAAATCATGAGTTTCTTCCTTAATACGATTCCTATTAATCAATGGACTAATGGAGATGAATATTTCTTCGATTTTGTATGCTTACATAGTGTATTCTCTCAAAAATTATAAAGAAAAACGATGAGATAATTTAAACTAGAGGGAGAGGAAATTTGAGTGACCAGCGAAGCTCCCACATTATTTTAGCCCGCTTGATTAAATTCGTGTCTGTTCTGTTTTCTTTATTCAAAATAGTATTTTAAGTGTTTTTTTTTTTTACGATGAAGTTCAGTTTTCTAAAACCTATTAGGTATGTTTTATATTATGTTTGGACAAGGGATGTAAACTTAGAATTTTGAAAAAGTTTGATATGCACCAATTTTTTTATTTGGATTTATAAATATAAAAATTTAGAATTTTCGCGTGAAACTAAAATTGAAATTTGTTAGGTAGACCTCCAATTCTGAAGTTTGAATTCCATGTAAATATGTGTCATTTCTAAAATTTCTATGAGTGAAAGTTTAAAATTAAAAATTTACGTATTCAAATTTCATTGTTCTTTTAGATTAATAAAACAATAAAATTCACAAATTTTAGAAAATAGAATTCGGCATTTCTATTTCCGTCGTTTTGAAATTCCTTAGTTTGAGCAATACTAGGAGCATCCCAAATGATGGGCTCTATACGGGGCCGAAAAAGTGGTGGATATATGTCACATCCCCGCCTGGGTCCACCACATCCCGGGCCCTTTCCACCACCGTAGCACGATATTGTCCGTTTTAAGCCCCAACTACGCCCTCACAGTTTTTGTTTATGGGAACTTACACAAGAACTTCCCAGTGCGTCACCCATCATGGGATTGTTCTCGCGCGCTACTCACTTAACTTCAGAGTTCTGATGGAACCCGAAGCCAGTGAGCTCCCAAAAGGTCTCGTGCTATGTAGGGATGTGAATATACATTTAAGGATCACTATTGCTCTCGCGCGCTACTCGCTTAACTTCGGAGTTCCAATGGAACCCGAAGCCAGTGAACTCCCAAAAAGCCTTGTGCTAGGTAGGGATGAGAATATACATTTAAGGATCACTCTCCTGGGCGATGTGGGATGTTACAATCCACCCCTTAGGGGCCCGACGTCCTCGTCGGCACACTTCCGGCCAGGGATTGGCTCTGATACCATTTGTCACATCCTGAACTTGGCGGGACCACTTCTTGGGTTCGTTCCACCACCGTAACACGATATTGTTCGCTTTAGGCCCCAACTACGCCCTCACGATTTTTGTTTATGGGTACTCACAAGCAGCTTCCCAGTGGGTCACCCATCCTAGGAGTGCTCTAGCCACCTTCTCGCTTAACTTCGGAGTTTCTATGGAACCCGAAGCCAGTGATCTCCCAAAAGACCTCGTGCTAGGTAGAGATGAGAATATTCATATAAGGATCATTCCCATGGGCGATGTGGGATCTTACAATCCACCCCCTTAAGGGGCCCGACGACCTTGTCGGCACACCACGACCAGGGTTAGGCTCTGATACCAATCTGTCACATCGCGACCCGGGTCCACCACATCATGGGCTCGTTCCACCACCGTAGCATGATATTGTCCGCTTTGGGCTTACCATTCCCTCACGATTTTTGTTTTTGGAAGCTCACTAGCTTCGGGTTCCATCGAAACTCTGAAGTTAAGCGAGTTCGCGCGAGAGCAATCCCATGATGGGTGACCCACTGGAAAGTTCTTGTGTAAGTTCCCAGAAACAAAATCTTGAAGGCGTGGTAGGGGTCCAAAATGGACAATATCGTGCTACAGCGGAGTCGAGCCCGGGAAGTGGTCCCGCCTGGGCCAGGATGTGACAAATGGTATCAGAGCCAATCCCTGGCTGAAAGTGTGTCGACGAGGACGTCGGGCCCCTAAAGGGGGTGGATTATAACATCCCACATCGCCCAGGGAAGTGATCCTTAAATGTATATTCTCATCCCTACTTAGCACGAGGCCTTTTAGGAGTTCAATGGCTTCGGGTTCCGTAGGAACTCCGAAGTTAAGCGAGAAAGAGGCCAGAACACTCCCAGGATGGGTGACCCACTGGGAAGTTGCTTGTGAGTTCCAAAAAACAAAAACCGTGAGGGAATGGTAAGCCCAAAACGGACAATATCATGCTACAGTGGTGGAACGGGCCCGGGATATGACAAATTGGTATCAGAGCCTAACACTGGCCGTGGTGTGCTGATGAGGTCGTCGAGCCCCTTAAAGGGGGTGGATTGTAAGATCCCACATCGCCCAGGGAAATGATCCTTATATGCATATTCCCATCATTACCTAGCACGAGGCATTTTGGGAGTTCACTGGCTTAGGGTTCCATCGAAACTCCGAAGTTAAGCGAGTAGCGCACTCGTTCCACCACCATATCACGATATTGTTTGCTTTGAGCCCCAACTACGCCCTCACGGTTTTTGTTTATGGGAACTTACACGAGAACTTCCCAGTGGGTCACCCATCATGGGATTGCTCTCGCACGCTACTCGCTTAACTTCGGAGTTCTGATAGAACTCGAAGCCAGTGAGCTGCCAAAAAGCCTCGTGCTAAGTAGGGATAAGAATATACATATAAGGATCACTCCCCTAGGCGATGTGAGATCTTACAATCCACCCCCTTTAAGGGGCTTGACAACCTCGTCGGCACACTACGGCCAGGGTTAGGCTCTGATACCATTTGTCACATCCTGGCCCGGGTCCACCACATCCCGGGCCCGTTCCACCACTGTAGCACGATATTGTCCGCTTTGGGCCCTGACTACGCCCTCACGGTTTTTGTTTATGGGAACTCACACGAAAACTTCTCGGTAGGTTATCCATCATGGGATTGCTCTTGCGCGCTACTCGCTTAACTTCGGAGTTCCGATGGAACCCGAAGCTAGTAAGCTCCCAAAAGGCCTTGTGCTAGGTAGGGATGAGAATATACATATAAGGATCACTCCTATGGGCGATCCCTACCTAGCATGAGGTATTTTGGGAGCTCAATAGCTTCGTGTTCCATCGAAACTCCGAAGTTAAGCGAGTAGCGCGCGAGAGCAATCCCATGATGGATGACCCACTGAGAAGTTCTCGTATGAGTTCCCATAAACAAAAACCGTGAGGGCGTAGTCGGGGCCCAAAGCGGACAATATCATGCTACGGTGGTGGAACGGGCCCGGGATATGGTGGACCCGGGCCGGGATGTGACAATTTGGTATCAGAGCCAATCCTTGGCTGGAAGTGTGCTGATGAAGACGTCGAACCCCTAATGGGGTGAATTGTAACATCCCGGATCTCCCAGAGGTGTGGATCATGCAAGCCTTATATGTATATTTCCGTCTCTACCTAGCACGAGGCCTTTTGGGAGCTCACTAGTTTCGGGTTCCATCGGAACTCCGAAATTAAGCGAGTAGAGCACGAAAACACCTCCGTGATAGGTGACCCACTGGGAAGTTCTCGTGTGAGTTCCCATAAACAAAACCGTGAGGGTGTGGTTGGGGCCCAAAGCGGACAATATCGTGCTACGGCGGAATCGAGCCCGAAATGTGGTGGGGACCCGGGCCGGGATGTGACAATATACACCAATTTAGAGCTCTAAGGAATTTTTAGGGCTCTAAAAAAGAATCTCTCCTAATGAGGGGTTGTATGCCTTTCGGACCCTATATGAGGCTATATATGTATTTATGTTTATTTGATTACGTGGTCAATTTTTTAATTTTTTTAAGCTTTTCTTAAGTTGATTTCGGACATGTTATCTGTAATTTTTATGAAATTTTCAACCTAAAAAAAATTCAAATTATGATAAAGTTAGATTTTATCACTTATGCACTGTTGGATTAGGTTCTCTTACCTTAATCTCATGCACGGAGAGGCTAAGTCATGTGTTTGTAGCATTTAAATAGCACATTGTAATGGCCTTTTTTTTTTTGGTACAGAGGATGGCAAAGCCCGGCAAGCAAAACAAAATAGCTAGGCAAGAACAGTGGTAGGAGGAGAAGCAAAAAATGAAGGCCAAGGGAGAACCCATGACCCAAGTCAGTGTTTATGCTTTCAACAAAATTGTAATGTCCTTGCAATTAAGGTATGTTGTTTGTTTATGTTTGCAATTTAGGTCTCTAAACTACCGAAGTTACATTCATCACTTTTTTTATGAACTTTTCAATCTAGAAAATCAAACACAAAGCATAACAATTTTGTTCTTAATCAATAACGCACAAAAAATAGCCGTTGTTTTATGTATTCTTAATTAAACAAACGGTTAAAAATAAACCTTTAAAATCATTAACTATTGAAAAAGAACCTTAAAATCATGTTTTAGAAATCAAAATGGGACCCATCTATTTTTAAACCAAAAAAAAAGAGAAAAAGGTTGGGCTCTCAATTTGGTGTGAGTCCCTTATTTTTTGGGCTAGATGTAGCATAATTTTTTGCTACTAAATGAATGAAGTTGCTAGCACTGTTAGTGGATGTCGCCTCATTTTTAGGCTCATTAGAGTAAAAAAATTTCACTGGAGCTACAAATGTAGTAGCCTCAGGAAGAATAAAGCCCTCATTGGGAATGCTCTAAAAAGACTCCTTTCTCTGTAAACTCTCTGCTATCTCATATTTTTAACACAATATTTTTTAATATTGACATGAAAATTGACGTTAAACTGTGAGGTGACAGAAGTTCATAAAGATCCTATTTTGAAAGAGTCTACTTAGCATTTCTCTCCTTAGTAATCTTAAATTTTCTTCTCTAAACATAGTATTAATATTAGGGATTTTTTTTTCAACATATTAAGGTTATTAAATAAACGTCAAAGTATCAGTTATGATTTTTTTGGGGACCTTGATACCGACCACGACCATAACCATTAATTGATACTTTAGAAATTAACAAACTATTGTACATTTTAAAGTCATTCAATTATTGTCCTTCATATTGACGTTAAAATTCAGTTACTCATTTAACAAACCCTAAACAAAGTAATTATCCTAAGAAAAAAAATATACAACGCAAGTGGCCCTTTATCACAGTGGTAAAAAGGTGTTGAGCCCTTGTATGATGGTGTGGGTTCAAATTCCCTCCGTGAATAATCTAATATCCAATCTAACAAAATCTTTCGTGTGACCAAAAAAAAAAAAAAACTCATTCGACGGAAGATATAATATTTTGATAATGATTGGCTACTTAAGGATGAACATGAATAAGAACTCCTACTTATAAACTCATTCATATTACAAATCACTTTGTAAATATCATCCTGTTAAAAAGAATCAAAACTAAAATCGTTTAGTCAATCTATTTGGAGATGCTCTAAGTCTTCAAATCCAATCAACAAATAGCATTTTGATTAAAGAAACTTTTGATGTCAAATATGTACGGTGATATTCCACTTAAGATTTTGATTTTAACATCTGATTTGAAAATACTATGCTAATAACAGTTATCTTTTTCTGTGATAAATAGAAAATAGAGATTTGGTTGGATGCGATCTGTTTGACCAAATGGGTACAAAACAAAGCAAAGCCAACAGAAGACACACATGACCAACAGAAGACACACATGACTCGACAAGTTCCCACGAAGCTATTCTTTTACTATTATGCCATCCCTCTCTCCTCTTTCTCTCTCTACAATCATCAACCGTACACATACGCTTACGTACAAATACATAAGGGGTAACTCTCTCTCTCTCCTCGTCCTTCCTTTCTTGTTCTTGTTTACTAATTAGGGCTCAGAGCCTGAGCTTCTGAACTGCCATTTACTACAACCAACCCAACGACATAAAGCAGAGAAAGAGAATCGATTCAGAAATGGAGGGAGGAGGGCCCGCAGCTCAATCGGCGGACACTGTGATGTCGGAGGCGGCGCCACCGTCGCATCCGGACCCCAACCACCCACAGCAACATCCGCCACCGCCGCATCAGGCCATGGGGGGAGTGGAGAGCATTCCGGCCACGCTCAGCCACGGCGGCCGATTCATTCAGTACAACATCTTCGGCAACGTCTTCGAGGTCACCGCCAAGTACAAGCCCCCCATCATGCCCATCGGTAAAGGCGCATACGGCATCGTTTGGTCTGTATCTCCTCTCTCTCTCTCTCTCTCTCTCTCTCTCTCTCTCTCTCTCTCTCTCTTTCATTTCTTCCATCCCTTCATTTTTTGTTTGTTTCAAATTTCCTCTCTCTGTGAAAAGAAAATGCAAAAGATTCATCATTTGGGGAAAATTAAATCGGATTCAATGATTGATTAATCGTGAGAAATTGCAAAACAAATAGCTCGGCTTTGAATTCGGAGACGAACGAGCACGTTGCGATAAAGAAGATTGCGAATGCGTTCGACAACAAGATCGATGCGAAGAGGACGCTGAGGGAGATCAAACTGCTGCGGCATATGGATCATGAGAATGTTGTTGCGATCCGGGATATAATCCCTCCACCGCAGAGGAACTCCTTCAATGATGTTTACATTGCGTATGAGCTCATGGACACCGACCTCCACCAAATCATTCGATCCAATCAAGCACTCTCCGAGGAGCACTGTCAGGTTCTGCCCCTTCTCTTCTAAATGCTAGCATTTTCGATATTCTGTTTGAAACTAAAGACGAGTTCTTACTTGAAACTAAAGTCAATCTTGACACCAGTGTGTTAGCATTCTTTGTGAAATTGATAATTTGTGCCTTTTCGGGTTAAAAGTCTGTAAAGACAAGTTCTTTGCCGCATCTGCGTGTTTTTCTCGACCATTTGGACAGTTGTTGTGAAACAGATCGTTCCTCTAGTTGTTCTCATTGATAAAGATAAAAAATGATTGGATGAAATTGACCAAGAGGAAAGTTTGGTTTGTAATAAGAATTCTTGAGCAACCTTGAAAATAAAGATTCGTGCTTTTCTCGTTTTCAGCTACGCCGTTAGTTTTCCATGGAGAAGGTTCCAAGACTAGTTTTATGTACTTCTTATTAGACTTCCTTATATTTATATATTGCTCCATCAAAGCTGTTCATTGTATGCAACTTAGATGACCTATGGCTTTTTGAGCACCTAATTAGCAAGTTGCGAAATAAGATGAACCGTATCTCGCCCCTCCCATTCATTTCTTCCATTACATTTCGTATGTTAAACTTAAGAGTCTCCTGCTTCTAAATTCATAATATTTTTATTTTTTATTATTTCACTCGACTCCACTTAGTGGGATAAAGCTTTGTCGTTGTTGTATTTCACTCAAGATCTAATAACTACTGTTTTTACTCATTTTTTTGTGCGTGCAGTATTTCTTATATCAGATCCTCCGAGGATTGAAATACATACACTCTGCAAATGTTCTGCACAGGGACTTAAAACCTAGCAATCTTCTATTAAATGCCAATTGTGACTTAAAAATATGTGATTTTGGACTAGCTCGAGTCACCTCTGAGACTGATTTTATGACTGAGTATGTTGTTACAAGATGGTACCGTGCCCCAGAGCTATTGTTAAACTCTTCAGATTACACTGCAGCTATTGATGTATGGTCAGTAGGTTGTATTTTTATGGAATTGATGGATCGGAAGCCATTATTTCCTGGCAGAGATCACGTGCATCAGCTTCGTCTGCTTTTGGAGGTAGCTTAATTATGTTTATTGGTCATAAATCATTTTTTTGTGCAAACCGAGGATCATATAATGGACAAGAAAATATCATCGTCATCCTTATTATTGTAACTGTTTTGTCACAGCACAGGGTCCTTGAATAGCATTATTAGCTCCTCCATGCCATAGTTACACTTGACATGATAATAAGCCCAACATGTGTCACATTTGAGACCATTTCATGATGAATTCGGAATTGGAATTTAGAATCTTCACATTTCTAAAATTGTACATTTTTAGTGTAGATATCTATGAATCAGTGTGGTTAATCATCAGAAATCCTTGCAGCTGATTGGCACCCCATCAGAGGCTGAGCTGCAATTTCTAAATGAAAATGCTAAGAGATACATTCGGCAGCTTCCTCTCTACCGTCGACAGTCATTTACCGAGAAGTTTCCTCACGTCCATCCTTCAGCAATTGATCTAGTTGAAAAGATGTTGACATTTGATCCTACTCAGAGAATTACTGGTAAGTTGCCCTTACTAAAATGATCACAAGTCTGATAAACAATAATCACAGTTTGTCTACTGCTTATGTGCTTTATTGACTCGGAATAATTTGTTGCTGACTCCCATTTGGTGTGTGATCTTCATAAGTAGTAAATTTGAGTACTCCCACATTAGTGTTACCTTGATTATTTTAGCTAGCTTAATGCAGACATGTTGTTGGACTATATTAACGGAATACGTTTACATGTTCAAACAGTGAGATCAATATACTCACAAAAGAGAAGGAATTTAAGAATCTAACTGTTTTCGGATATCATTTGAAAACGAAAAATTTATCTCTAGGAGTTCATTTTAGGGTGATGTAAGTTTTTCATGTCCCCTCAACCACCCTTCTGCTAAATTACAATTAAATCCACCCATCAAGCACGTGGAAAATCTACACTCCCCATTATTCTCTTTTCTGTGGAACTCTCCATCAGATAATAAAATTGTAGCCATCACCCGCTTTCTTACACGTGGGATGCCAGCTTCCCATTGTGTGGGTAAGATTACCTCAAGATAATGATGCTTTGGCAGTAGTCCGTCCCTTTCATGCGGTCATCCATGGAAATCGGCCGTTTTACCTTCTAAAAACTTAATAGTATGTTTTCATCTGACATTTTGAAGCTCTTCCTTGTTCTCAAACACCGAACATCGTAATCATCACATTTTTAACCTTATGTAGAACCTCTGTTACATTTAATTTAGTTTTACTGTTCTGACTACTTCCGTTCTCCCTACGTTGCAGTTGAAGATGCCCTAGCTCACCCCTATTTAACATCTCTCCATGACATCAGTGATGAGCCTGTTTGCACGACTCCCTTCAGCTTCGACTTTGAGCAGCATGCACTCTCTGAGGAACAGATGAAAGAGCTGATCTACCGAGAGGCACTTGCATTTAACCCCGAGTATCAGCTACAGTGAGTTATTTGCTACTTAATTCACGTGGATTTTCAATTGTGTGGTCTCTAGGTTCCATCTGTTCGGTGTTCGGGATTGATTTTTCATGTAAATATGTTCCATCCGAAAGTGGAAGGTTATAGATTCGAATTATTGATCATGTGGAACAATGACAGCGATATTTGCATCGGCTAGTTTTGATTTCTGTTTTATCTAATTATTGAATTGAGCAGTCATACTGCTGATGAATTAATATTTCCTCGGAACACATTTCCGAAAGCTTGAGAATCAATAAGGATCTCCGATGTCTGTTGTTACATTTGATCGTATTCATGCGCCTGCGTTCTTCTTTTCCATTTCGGACGGTGAATCTGTAATCTGTGCTGGCATTCCCTTCGACCTCGATTGCACTTCAGTCTGTGCAGGACGAAGCCGGAATGCCAGAAGCCGAAGCCGACGACTATTTATCCGAATGAGAGTTCAAAATGCCTCCATTTTTGCTCACATCAATTCTACTAATAGAAAGAGTTACATGAATTCTTTTCGTACAATTGATTGGTACCGAATGAGATGAATAAAACGAAACTTTACCAAAGAAAGTAACCTCATCAGAGCTAACTGCTAAGGCAACTAAATATATCATGTTGACAAAACAATAAAGAACAAACTCATCTCAAACTAATCTCCCATTGTAGGAAGATACACGACAATAGCTCATCATATAATCCCGTTAGGTCTTCACATTCCCGAAGAATCTTGAAAGTGGCACGGGACCATCAGCCTCGTCATCGTCACTGCCCGAGTGTTTGGTCTTTGACCTGTGCTTCTTTTCCTTCTTTGTTCTCTTGGACCTGGACTTGGATCGTCTCGATTCTCGGTCTTCGTCTTCACTACCGGAAGAATCTGAAGATGAGCTCGAGGAGCTAGACTCTGAAGATCTCCTTCTTGAATGCTACAAAGCACAAAGTGCAGTGAGGAAAATATTAAACCGATTAAACATATAACACACGCACCACTAGAAAAAAAAATTGTAGGCGGTGGGCACCTTTCTCTTCCTGCTGCTGCTGCTGCGTTTCTTTAAATCTTTGTCCTTCTTATCTGCAAGGACACATATTCACCTTCAGTAAAGAGGCTACTAGAAACAAGTAATAGTTTGTGTTCACATTCCATGTCCACGACACCCACCTTTTTTGCGATCGGACTTACTACTAGAGTGGTTTCTTCCATTGGCAAGCTTGCGAGCCCTTTCGGCATCCAGTTGAGCTCTGTATTCTCTCATCATTCTATCAGTATCCTTCTCCAGTTCTCCCTTTCTAATTTCATCTTCCTAGTACATCAATACATTAAGATTGACTGAAAATTTGCATGTACTGAAAAAAATGAATGTAGCAAGTAGACAATACTACCATTTTATGACACAGTACGAAGATAAAAATATTCGAGCAAATATCAGTTCAATTAGCTGCACCTAAATATTTCTAAATGCAAAATGTTAGTCCTAAGTAGTTAGGACTACAGGCTAACATCAACGAGAACATCCTCTTCTTTTAGTCTTCCAAACCTAAATGCATCGGATCATGTACCTTTCTAACTATCAGGCATAATCACAAACTCATTTAACATGTTCCTTCCACAACACACGATATTAAAAGGGTGCCCCTTTTTTAAGCTCTTTTAACAGGTACAGAATTCTGTATAAACTATACAGAAAGAAAACAGCAGCAAAAATAGATAAGGAAAGTCCATCAGCAGAAAGAAAGAAGAAAGTACCTTTTGCTTCTGTTTATACTCCTCCCAGGTAATTGTATGAGAAGTTTTGAGGCTAGCCAAACGAGCAGCATGCCACTCTGGTGAATGAAATGAACCATCCACCTGCGACAGTCCTCATCAGTGAAAGTACAGGAAAAGAAAACATCCAAGATACAAGTATTATATTGGATTATCAAGTCAATTCTTTAATATGTAGATGGACCATGCATAAATTTCACCAAATGCTAAGCAAACTACGAAATCTGCTATGACTAAAATTCACATCCGCAGTAATTAAGCTTTCCACCAAATATTAAATTGGCCTAGAAACCACCATGTGTCGACCCCCCCCCCAAAAAAAAAAAAATTGGCACCAAGTAGAAAAAAAAGGACTCAACTCAACAACTAAATTACAAGTTAATATGGTACCCTACTTTAAATTGACACAGATTTCATCTTGCATATATACCCATAGAAGCAATATAATCATGTGGTGATGTGGAATGGGAATTGGAAACATACTCCGTTTGATGAGAACTCTTTTGGTGGTCATAGGCTTATACATGGCTGGCATCTAATTACAGAACTTTAAATGATGATAATTTTTGAGATAAATTAATCATTATCATAATTCCAACAGAGTTACTCCACAAACTGTATGATTGGTCACACTAGTCCCATCAATTGTGAGTACTCAAAATCACTGAAACAAACCATTACATTTCATCCAACCTAGGATGCTAAAGACACCCTCTATCCCTAAGAGCTTGTTGTTCATCAACATACTTTTTAACACACTGTACACCACGAGAGTTATGGAGGATGCACACATAACCTATACCTCAACACCTATGAACCAATGGTAACCACATCACAAACAAACTAGAAGGTAAAAATAATGCTCTGATCCAATTCCATATACCTTGAATTGTACTTCATAAAGAAAGCATTTAAATTTACAAGAAGATGGTAGCGATCTCAAGAGCCAAATCATCAGTGTTCTTATGTTTTAAGTTGTCAATTCAACACTTCACACGAGATTCGACACAAACAATTCCTTTTAACGAACACCACATAATCCTAGAGAATCAGATACTATAAGTCTATAACCACAAGTTCAGTAAACAGTAAACAATTACAACACACCCACCAAAAACCAAGATTGAATCTTTCAACAAAGTTTCCTCAGAAATCACACATTCAATTGCACAGTACGCAGTTCATTGAGAAAATTAAATGCAAGCAACTCAATTCGAATGCAAAGAAATAGTAGAATTGAAGAAATGGGGGAGAAAATTGAAATTAGTGAGGTGGTATGGAAGGGTACAAACCATGCCGTCTTCGACCTCATCGGGGCCGGCAGAGCTGGAGCCGAGCCTGGATCTCTGCATAGCCTTGTAAGCTTGATTTTTGCCCATTTCGAAAGAGACCCAGATGAGAAAATCAATCAATCGAACAGAACAAGACAGAAACCAAGGAGGAGGCAAAGATACGACTAGAGCATCAGCGGAGGACAACCCATGTACTGAAATCGAGAGAATTGAGGAACAGCAAGGAGGTTGGGTTTGGGTTTTTCCAAGCGAGAGGGGGTTGTTGCTCCTCGTATGAATTTGGTGATACAATTAGAAGGTGAGGTTGTCAGGAACAGCCAGCAGATTTGTCAGAGGAACAACGACGGTGTGGGGCGAAACCTCGAGATTTGGATGACGTGTTGCATAGTGATTGGTCGGAGCAGAAGTTAGTATAGTACAAGCAACACACGCAAGAACGGATGACTCGTCATCGAATTGATGGGCTGTCTGCTGGCTTGGAGGTCATTTTGGGCTTCGTACTGGATTTGGGCCTTTGGGCTCTTGGAATCCATGGTATTGGACTAACACCCACAAAACAAAGCAAAATCACAAGTTTATTACTAAATAATGAAGGCGTCATTTTGAATTATGGTCTAGTGGGGTCTTAGGACGGATTCTCTTTAAAAGCGAATTGGAACTTCATTTTTACTAGCTCATTGTGAGGCTCAACCTACTTTCCCACTCTTTTAATGTAGATAATATCGTTTGTAAAAAAAAAACTAAATAATGAAGGTAAGCTAATTGCATGTTATTTTATGTGTTCCCACTTTTTGGAATAGTTGTTACGTGATGTACCATTTTATGATTTAGCTATAAATCGATGTATGTCACTTTTTAAGATATATTTATATAAAATAAATACATGTATTATAATTTAAGTTAAATAATAATATCACGTGACAGTGTTATAAAATATTTCTCAAAAATGATTGAATACATGTATTTGTGGGCCAGTTTTCCAAGTTGTACACAGTAGTACTACGCCACTATACAAACATGCCTTTTGTGCGTCTGGTTTATCCAATAAAAAGTTGTATCGATTAAGCTTAATCAAATATTAGTTAATGTATTAATATTAACAACTAATCATACTCAATTCGTATTAAGCTAGAAAAGCTACACAGTAAAATGATCACTTGCTCAATATGTGTCGGCACTTTGTCACCCATTATCTTTTATGTTTTGCAAATGCATCATTTTAGTCCTTTTTGTTTTGAATTAGTCAATTTCGTGTTTTGTCAAATTTTCCGTGCCGGTCATTTTCGTTAGTGATAATGTGACACAAACGTGGGACTAGAAAGAAAACCAATCGAATTGTGTCATGTGGATTTAAATAAAATTAAAAAAAATTAAAAACCAATAAGAAAAAAAATATAAAAAGATTGATACAAAAAAATGAAACATAAAAATAGGTTGTTATCAGGGAACTTGTGTTATTGTAAAGTAAAATACAAAAGACATGATGGAATTTCGAGAGATTGTAACATGCAATTGAACGTGAATAGAGAAATGCTAACATAGACATTTGTTACATTCCGGAAATTTTCATGAGAGAGAGAGAGAGAGAAGGGAGATGTTTCATTATAAAATTGATGTGCAATATGAAAAGTAACATAATTTTTTATTATGCAATGTCTATTCTTCTATCAATGTATTCATTCTTAAAATGTCTTTTTAGTTATGACGAATATTGAAACTTAATAAGTGGACAACACAACAGGATGATTTGGAGTGCGTAAACTTGGCTCTGATACCATTAAAAAAATTAATATTTCACTATAAAATCAATTTATAATAAAAAGTAATCAAACTTACTTATAAGCTGTATAAAATTATTCTCCCGATTAATATGAGATTCATTTTAAGTAGAGTGTTTTGAGAGTAGGCCGAGCAAGCAAATTTGATATATATATACACACACACATACATATTGCTTAATGGGAGGGATCCCTATTTTTTTTTTTAAATGAGGACACGGTCTCCACCGTTAGATTTAACTTTAATGAAATTATGTGGTTGAGATTGTATGACTTGTGTTTTAATCTTAGCCTCACAATTTTATTAAAACCAATGGGAAGCGTGTTCCCATTTTTTTAAAAAACATGGGATCCCTGCCCATAAGCAACCTGATATATATATTGTACAGTTTTACAGCAGCTGGAGAATAGTTCTCTCTATCAGTTTAATGTGGTATGGCAGAGTCAGACTAAGGCAGAGAGAGAGAGAGAGAGAGAGGAGCACGACGCGTTTCAAGTTCTGAGGACGTCTGTGAGTAGAAATTTTTTATTACGGAATACCGATGATGCATCATGTGTTTTTATGTAAATAGTGAGAAATTTTATTTTTTAAAGTATTAACTTTTTAATATAGGTATCTCACAATTTGTATAATGACACGTAATGTACTATCTATTGTGCCGGTCATATTAAAAAAATCTCTCGTCTGTGAGGTGAGGAGGTCAAATCGTGCGTGAACCACGCGTTTAAACTGTGGGACTAGAATTCTCTTCCATCCTCTAATTTTTTTTATTTTATTTTTCTCTTTTTATAAAAAATTAATATAAAATATTAAACTGTTCAAAAATAGAAAAAAGAAGAGAAAAAATAGAGGGAAAAGAATCTTACCTGTAAACTGTGCCATGCATGCAGTCACTCACCTTATATATGTATAAAGTTTGTACGGCTTGGCATAGCCTACACTTTTGACTACTTTTGCCTTATCTCCAATTTGCCGACGTTTTGACGACTAGCGACTTAATTACATGATACGAAAACACCGTTATAATATTATACTACGACTAGTGGTTTATTTGTGATATGTCACATTGATATGCAAGTGTTTTAACTTTGTAATATTGTTGGGTAATTTCGAGGGAGGAACCGAATGATCAAGATTTTGTTTGCTTGTTTGGTTTGGTTGTTTCAACGTAAATTAATGGATTTGAACCAAAAAAAAAAAAAAAACTGTAAATTAATTGAGTAGGACGTCGGCGTGAGGGTGGGAGGGGGAGTGGGAGTGGGCGTGGCCATTGTTTCGTTTGTTTTGTTTCTTTCTCTCTTTTATGTTTGTCTGTAAGTTTTGGCCATAACGTAAAATGCGTTTTGTGGTACTTGAATTCGGCATGGAATGATAGAAAGCGACTTGGTTTTAACTTTATACAAGATGCATGGTGGTGGTGAGGAGTCATTTTCTTTCATGTTTTTTAAAAGCATATATATAGACAAGTTTAATTTGTTAATTAGGGTTTACGTGTTACCATATTTGCTTTCAGTCGATCTCAAAGCCACAACTCATGTCTCATGAGTCATGAGCATGCCATCCTTTCATATATTATTGAAGGGATGGCCACCCCTATATCTCTCTTTTCTCTTCCTGCATGCATGGTCTATAACGCGTGCATACGTATGAGCATGCTTGTCTGCTTAAACGCTTGAATGTAGCGTTGGTTCGCGCGTACATGCATACAAATAATGTCGTACGTTAGAATTTGCATTTTCATTCATAAAAGAAGAGTGGAGAGTAGTTACTCAGTACTACGATCTGGTAATATTCATCTTTACTTATAAGTGAAAGGTTTTAGGTTTAAATCTCGTGGATGACGAATTCGAAATCAAATTAGATTACTCATTGTGTGGCTAAACCAAACTCTCTCATCCCTTTAGCGTAAAATATAGCATTGTACTGAAGAAGAAAAAATGGGGAGTACGTATTTGAATGTGTAGTAGATCGTACGTCCTAATATTTAATGTCTCTCCTAAAAACTGTTTGTGGACAAATTGGTTCAGATCATATATAACACACTACTTCATGACTTGAACAGTATACAGCAACATTAATAATTTGATGGACCGACCTATTAATTATTGTAACAACACTCTTAATTGTGTTCCAGTGGATCTCCATCTCCCCGGCTAGTGTTTTTAGGGTTATAAACCCCATAACGACTCGTAAATTGTTTGTTTTTATATTTATTTAATTTTTTCTTTGTAGCATTTTGAAGTAGGTGTATGCATGAAAGGGAACCGATCCCAATAATTTGAACCCAATAATCATTTGATTTGACTTTTTGAAATTTGATCTAACGGTTACCATTATTATAATTTTTAGAAAAATTCTCTGTTTGTAATCGTTATATCAAATTTCAATGTTCCGTATCATTTTATCCTTAGGCTCATATTATTGGGCTCTAGAGGGGATCCGGTTCCACATGAAAGAACCTAACTCAATTTCAAAATATGTCACTTAGAACTACGGTATAATGATATTCCTCTTTACTTACAAGTGAAAGGTTTTAGGTTCAATTCTTGATAAAGACGAATTTGAACTATATTATTACTAGCACATTGTAAGGTTTAGCCTACTCCCCTACTCTCTTAGTGTAAATAATTAGGAAAACTAATGAAAAGGGCTTGAAAACTTTGAGTTTTAATGATAAGGACAAAATAAAGGGTAAAGTGAATAGTACCAGGATTGACTTTTTAGTGTAAAAATGTGGTTTTTCGTTAAAATTCCCTAAATAATTTTGTTTGTTCAAAACAAAAAAACCTCAATTTCAAAATATAAATTATCGATCTTTTTTAAGGTCTAATAATTAATTTTTTTTACGTAAACTAGTAAAGTGTAAATAAAGGGCTTTAAAATTTATATTTAGCAATTGATGGCTTGGGTCAAAACTAAGATTCTCATAAGTTTAGTTTTGTTGTTTTATCTATATTCTTTAAGCAAAAAACACTTTTGAGTTTTTGTTAACCGCTTGCGCTTTTGTAGAAAATATCAAGGGACAGATTTGTGACACTCATCTTTTGTAATTTATTTCAATTATCCGATTGGTCTACATTTTATAACATTATTGATAGATCATCTTTATAAAAAAATCAGACAAATCGAAAATCAATGAAGGAAATGAACGAATACGGTTTTGTAAAGAAACACTAAATTTAATCCAATGGTCATATGGTTTTAAATTTCGAATTTTTTTTATATGATCTTTAAAATGCATTACAGAGTGAACCTTACAAAAACGTATATAAAAAATTGTATAAAAAAATATGCCAAGAAGAGTACACACACACATATATAATATATTTGTATATATAGATATATTAAATCCCGCAACTACTTTAGTATCAATGTATATATAGTTTGGCAGCGTTACGGGTATAATGGAAGATATATATAGCTACTAAAAGCCACCACCGGATGGTCC